TGACGCTGTAAAAACAAGAATATTTGAATAACCGTTTGCATGTTGTTGTGATCATGCACGCGGCAAAGAAGTACGTACACCAAATCCATGTTTGCTGACAACTTTTAAGGCGTCAAAGTCATTAATTTTTTTTAGGTAAACCTAATAGAAATTGTGTAGCGTTGTTTTCGTATTTTATACTGTTCACACTGGATTAAGACTTCGATTCTTTCGAAAGTGGTTTCTTAGTAAAAATACAAAAATTCTATGTTCGCGAAAATGTCGTTTAAATTCATTTTTATAACAACCATTATTATGGTTATCTACAGCTTAAAAAAGGCGTCTACCACTATAAGCATTGTTGAAGAATATGAGGAAGTCGACGGCAATAATTTGGATCCTTACGTTCGTGTTCAATGTAGCTACATATTAAGTGCTCAAATTTACATGGCGCTGATCGAGGATTTGCTTGAAAATAAAGATAAGTTGGCGAATATTCCTGAAGGTAAAATTCTATCGTATACCAAACAAGCTGCTAAAATCAATGCGACCTTCCATAATGTCATTGGGATGCAGAATACTGGTTTACAGAACGTAATGTGGATATTTTCAGCGTACGCCGAGCGAGTACTGGTGTATATGGAATCGGTCATAAAAAAAGTCCCGGCCGAAGATCAAGAAAAAATCTTATCCATTCACTACTCTGTAGATTTATTTCTCCATATACACATGGAATCTGACGTCTGCGTTGATTATAATGAGGGCTTAAGGTTGGACGCCGTGAGTAATATTAAAGATTCGCAGGTTCGATTGGCCACTCTCGAAACTAAGACATCAGTTTTCATGCAGCGAATAGACATAAACGCCAACGAACATGATATCAACACCACCGGGCACGAAAAAATTAATTTGAACACGTTGAGCTTGAACGGACTGCTGGGGGACATGGAAGCGACTAAACGAGTTTTGGAAATTTCTGGAGTAGAGCTAAATTGGGACCAAGTGTTGCAGAATTTAAAAAGAGTTCGTGATCTGGGAACGCAAGCCAACGGCACTAAATTGAGTGAACAGATAATGTCCTTGAAAACATTTCATGACGAGTTTGCTATGATGGTAAAAGTAATCATAATTCGTCTGATGCTTAAGTTCGTATACATTACGAAGGGTAAAGACGTTAACTGGAGTGAGAGTGAAATGACACTTAATATAGTCGAGTTAGAGAACTATTTAGGTCCACAAGATGAAATGGATTACCTAAAAAACATGGTTAAAAATGACACTGAAAATTTACTAGGCCAGATGCAAACTATTGCCTATATAAGTATATATTTATCCAACTTAGCTTTTCCATATAACGATCCTAATTTGTGCAAATTTGATAAACAACAAGAGTTAACAGATTTTCAACAAGACGCAAATCGTTTCGTCAACACTTTCAAAGCCGCTTTACCTTATACAAACTTCAGTATAATTAAGACATTTAGACAACTTACGTCTACAGATGAATTCCAACAACTAGTATCGTGTGAAAAAACTGTGGATATAGTAGATTTAATGGCACCACATAATACGTCATTAGAAGATACTGGTTAAAATATAATAACTAAAGCCAGCTAGGGCGCATAGGTTTGCTGTAAAATTATAATAATGATACAAAAAACAATTGTCGTATTGTTCTAGAATAAAATTTAATTCTTTACTGTACTATTTTTGCTTTTCATTTTAATTATGTCAAAAATATCTATAAAAACTGTAATTATGACTAATGTACACTAGTTTATAACATAATAAAGTGTAACATTGGTAAAATACGCATATTTTTCTTGTTCATTTTTTGTTTGACAGTAAGAAGAACCTCACTCTTTTTTTCAATCGTAGGTTGTGAGTAACACTTGGTACTATTAACATTGATGTTGGTGATCACCAAAAGATGTATTATTTTGAACAAATTAACAAATGCAAACTGTACTAAGAATGAATGTGACATGTGGATTAAGATAGATGCCACTAGAGCATTGAATTAAAAAAAAATTAGAATTTCATCTTTTAGTTAAGTTGTAATCATTGTTACACATATATCGACAATGACAAATTGTATATATATATAATTTTTTTTTTTCACAGGTTAAAATCCTCAGTTACAGAAATTCGGTAGTGCACCATGACATAACTGTTTTGTAGTCATTAGTAGTTAATCCCAAAGATGTAAGATAATACATTTCATTGAGGAGGTTAAGTTAAGCAGAACAACTAGTTATTACAATAGTAACAATACTAAAAAATGAGTCGCATGACGAATTTTTACCAGATTTTTCCTAATGCATAATGGAAAAATTCACCATATACATATTTTGTTGAAATATGACTTTACGACAAACAATCGAAAACATAGATTTAAACCGTAATTTATTCATAAATTTATTTTTATACAACATTTTTTGAATAATGACACATTTCAATGTCAATTTTATTTTAATGCCAACACAAATTTAGGGTGTTTTGGTCTATTATAGTTTATGTATACATTTTAAAGCGATTAATCTAGAAAGATTTTAACACGCGTACTTAAGGTCAATACATAGTATACAGGGTTACTATCGGAATGTATGTATTTAGATGTTACACATTTTGTATGTTCAAAATATCAGTTCTTTAAATTCGTTACTTCAAAAAAAAGAAATAAAAATACAAATATAATAGAAAATGTACGCATAAACTGACTTGTTTTGACAGAACAATGAAAGCCATATAAATGATTATTGTTATTTTTATATATTGTACTATCACAACAATTACAACAATAGACTTTTAAATACACGGTTTAACATGTTTCGTTCAATTCTTAATAATATTGTAAAAATGAATTTTTTTCCCTCATGTCGATTCCTAGGATAAACCCAATACTTAGTTATCTATTGAAACAAAGACAAAACTTCCTTGGGTTGTTCCTATCTCCCTAAAGTTCTTCGAGTGCTTTCTTCTCGTATAGTCTTATTTGTCTTCTAATTGTCTTATTTGCCAGCTCCTTGAATTGTTTATATCTCCCTTGATTTTTTTGCGATGGATTGTGTATCATTTGCATGCGAGCCTCGTTACGCTTCTTTACTGCTTCTATACACTCATTATTGAACATTTTTTTGTACTAATTGATGTAATAAGAAACATATGATGCCATTAAAAAAAAAAAAAATTTCTCCTTTTTGAGGCTTATAATGATTGGTGACCAAAATTTTCAAAATATAGTACAATGTGTACCAAAAAATCTTGGAAAACATTTTTTAGCCGAGTCTGCAACCACGAAAGAGCATTTACATGTCTCGTTGAAGTACCGAGATAAATGTATAGTAGTAGTGGAATTATAAATAATGATATAGTATATTAAGAAGCAGTAATCACCCCTATCTTCCACCCCTATCTCCCATCCTTATCTCTTATCAGAAAACAGCGTAACGCTTTTTTCGATATAATTTTTTCAGTTATGTGCCAGAGCTAATTTTCACCCCCAACCTCATCTTCATCCCCATTTCTTTTTTGGTAACGCATTTTTCGTTATAATTTTTTCAATTATGTGCCATAGCAAAAACATGTAAATGTCAAAAATATTGCACAAAATATTAATATATTCTGAGAAAATGAGTGTGTTATCTTTAATGAATAACCCTGTATACAATATATCATATTATAATATGGCATACGGAAAAGTCAACATTCAACGGTACTCACTTTTAGTAGGTAAATAATAAGCATGTTTTATTTTCGGCTAATAGTTACAATTTTCTAATTTATATGGTAAGCCTTCTTTCTATGAGTAACCTTAGGGCTAAAATTGCTTCACTTTTACCAATTCCCTGTCTAAAACAGAATTAATCTTCATCGAGCTCTTCTTCGTTTTTATTCTTTATTCTATTTTGACATTTTCATGATTTAGATCTGGCACATAACCGAAAAAAGTTTTACTAACAAAAAAACCGTTACGGACACGGAGAAGGGGTTGGGGGTGGGAATAGAGTCAAGGGTGAGAATAGGGTTGGGGTGAGAGTGGTGGTGGTTTGCTTTGGCACATAACCGAAAAAACCATTACGCTGTTATCTGATCTTATTTCAAATAACTTATACTAGGTATCTTTTCCGACGTTTTTTAATAATTCCGCAGGGATATCATCTACTCCTGCCACTTTACCTTGTGTCAATTCACTTAGTGATTTAACTAAGTTAAATTCTTATACTATATGTGTGTAAAAAGGTTTCTCACCTGTGAGTGTCATCATGTGGTTTTTAAGATGTCCTATTTCGGAAAATGTCCTTTTACATATCTCACATTAAAAAGCTTTCTCGCCCATATGTGTTATTTTCTGCATTTTTCAAACTCCAGACCGTGAAAATGCCTTCTTGCATATGTCACATTGAAAAGATTTCTCGCCCGTGTGTGTCATTTTGTGTCGTTTTAGGTATCCAGAAAGTGAAAATGTCTTCTTACATATCTCATATTGAAAGGGCCTCTCACCAGTATGTGTCATTTTGTGTGTTTTAAGATTTCCAGACCGTGAAAATGTCTTCTTGCATATCTCACACTGAAAAGGCCTCTCGCCTGTGTGTGTCCTTTTATGAAATCTAAGAGTTCCATCATGTGAAAATGTCTTCTTACATATCTCATATTGAAAGGGCCTCTCACCAGTATGTGTCATTTTGTGTGTTTTAAGATTTCCAGACCGTGAAAATGTCTTCTTGCATATCTTACACTGAAAAGGCCTCTCGCCTGTGTGTGTCCTTTTATGCTTTTTTAAATCCCCAGATTGTGAAAATGACTTTTTACATATCTCACATTGAAAAGGCCTCTCAACAGTATGTGTCCTTTTGTGAATTCTAAGAGTTTCATCATGTGACGATGTCTTCTTACATATCTCATATTGAAAGGGCCTCTCACCAGTATGTGTCATTTTGTGTGTTTTAAGATTTCCAGACCGTGAAAATGTCTTCTTGCATATCTCACACTGAAAAGGCCTCTCGCCTGTGTGTGTCCTTTTATGCTTTTTTAAATCCCCAGATTGTGAAAATGACTTTTTACATATCTCACATTGAAAAGGCCTCTCAACAGTATGTGTCCTTTTGTGAATTCTAAGAGTTCCATCACGTGAAAATGACTTCTTGCATATGTCACATTGAAAGGGCCTCTCGCCTGTGTGTGTCCTTTTATGCTTTTTTAAATCTCCAGAATGTGAAAATGTCTTCTTACACATCTCACATTGAAAAGGCCTTTCACCAGTATGTGTCCTTTTGTGAATTCTAAGAGTTCCATCATGTGAAAATGTCTTCTTACATATCTCATATTGAAAGGGCCTCTCACCAGTATGTGTCATTTTGTGTGTTTTAAGATTTCCAGACCGTGAAAATGTCTTCTTGCATATCTCACACTGAAAAAGCCTCTCGCCTGTGTGTGTCTTTTTGTGCTTTTTTAATTCTCCAGATCGTGAAAATGTCTTTTTACACATCTCACATTGAAAAGGCCTTTCACCAGTATGTGTCCTTTTGTGAATTATAAGAGTTCCATCACGTGAAAATGACTTCTTGCATATGTCACATTGAAAAGGTTTCTCGCCAGTATGTGTCCTTTTGTGTCGTTTTAGGAGTCCAGAATGTGAAAATGCCTTCTTACATATCTCACATTGAAAAGATTTCTCGCCAGTATGTGTCCTTTTGTGTCGTTTTAGGAGTCCCGAAAGTGAAAATGAGTTCTTACATATATCACATTGAAAAGGTTTCTCGCCAGTATGTGTCTATTTGTGCTTTTTTAAATCTTCAGAAAATGAAAATTTATTTTTACATATCTCACATTTAAATAGTTTTTTGAACATATGTGTCTTTATGTGGTTTTTAAGATGTGTTAATCGTGCAAACGTCTTCTTGCATATATCACACTGAAAAGGCCTCTCAGCTGTATGTGACCTTTTGCGCTTGGTTATATTTCCAGTTGAAATTGTCCTTAAACCGAATTCGCACTGAAATGGTTTTTCGACTGTGTATTTTTTAATTGATCTGAAAGGAGTTTCTTCAGTTTGAATTTTATTATATTTCATTGAACTGTTGAGTGTATTGCTAATAAAAAAATAATAAAAATATGAAGATAATAACTGAATAGTAGTCAATCTGTAATGAAACGTTATCCATTTTTATCCAATTCTTACTTAGTACAATGAGGATGCAAATCTTCGTACTTGATAACTGTTAAATCTTGGTTTTCTTTAATTTTTATATCAGATACCAAAAAACAATCATTCCCGATTTCGTCAGCCTCCTGTTTAATTGCAGTCATGGTCTTTGGTTTTTGAACTGACATTTCTTTTTTTTTAATGCTTGTTATATCGATAACTGATCCAACAAAACTTTAAAAAACAAATAAAACAAATTATACAACAAAACTCTTTACATTTATAATAAAAAATAACAAACACAAATATTTAGATTATTCATTTTCAATTTCTTTAAAGCCGATGGCACTTTTAGCAATTAATTAAGAATTTTTTCTTTCATTGTAACCCTTGTTAAAATGTAGTTTTGTAAGTGGAGTCATGGATCTTTTTTTCCCGGGACGTTTTATATGTATACTATATTGAAGTATATATCATGTATGGCCCAAACACCAAATATGAACGAACATTTGGACCACCGATTTTTTTAAATTACACTATATATGAAAACAATGTTATCGATTATTTTGGCCATAATCGTAAAAAGAATTTGTCTTAAAACCTCTTTTTATAAAAAAAATAGTTAAAAATAATTTTCTTGTGTAAAATAACCTTAGCTTTCTGACAAAAACATTTTTAAATTTTGGGAAACAAAAACAAAACACTTTTTTAGATTAAAAATTAAATTTTAATGACTTTTTTTAACGCGAAAAGAAAAATCCACATGGCCCAAATAATCAAAAAAAAAATTCTTAAAAATATTTTTATCGTAACAGACATGCTGTATAATTTTCATAACAATCGGCGGAGGTGGTCCAAATAATCATTTATATTTAACGTTTTTACATAAGTTTATATATATGTACTTTTGTATTCCCGAAAACGATAACAATGATTGCGTGGTCGATATAAATCAAATATTACTCAGTCCCCCCAAAAGTGACGACACTAAAATTGCACTTACGTAGTAGAGAGAGTATTCACATATTCGTCTTTGACAAGTGCTATATCTTGATTTTCTTCAATTTGTATCGTAGATTTGAAATATTAGTCATTATCCACTTCGTCGACCTCCCATTTATTAACAACCATGGTGTTTGGTTTGCTACCAATAAAAAACAGCTTTTGTAGAATAGTAATAAGGTTATATATTGGTATCTCCCAAAATATATTTTTGAAGTTTGGGTCGAAGTGAATCCTTGTTGTAAAGTATATGTAAAGCAGTCATAAGGTTTTACGCTTACATTACATCAATATAAATTATAAAAAAAAAATCGTTCATATCTTTAAAAACTATACATTTTTGCCTTCAAAAGTTTGTGATAGCTTGTAATGTGTGATAAGGTTCATTTACACCTTATTACATAAAATACTAGTAATGTTTTGTTCATTTGTAATCAAATTATTTGTGTTTCATTTTACTAAGTCCAAAGAAATAAAGATAAATTTAATTATTAGATATACAAAAGTATGAAAAATAAATGTCTAAATACTTATACTATTTACTGTGTAAGACTTAAACAGTAGAAAGTGGCACTAAATTTGTTAAAATTAAATAAGAACTGCTTTTGAGTTTTGGTTCTTTAACTTATTACAAAAACTAAAAAAAAATAATTAGAATCTATCAATTTAATGATGTAGTTTGTAATATATAAAGTAAACCCATATCATTTTTTTATTAACTTTTACTTACACACATTTTTAAAATAAAACTAGTTAATATAAAATTATCAAAATCGATTCTTTTAAATTGAAAAAAATGATATATTTGAATAACTTTTTATATACATTTATCTACATAAAAAATAAAAAATAACCATAATTTTTATTCCAGCATTATTTAATATTAATATACTTTTTTTGTAGTTGATCTACTGTTATTTCGAGTATAACGTTATTTATTGAAAACGTAAAAATAAAAAAACCAGTACAATGGGGTCGGTGCATAGTGGGGACGGAACATAGTTGGGTCGGGGCATATTGGGGACGGGGAGGTCACAGGTTTACAGGAATTTTTAAATCTGAAAGTGATAAAATCACTTTCGAAAAAACGCTTCGATGCAAATCGGTAGTTAGTATTTTCAAGCCAGTACAGTCCAAACCAAGCACAGTATAAACCAGCAAAGTTAGAAAGTCTTAATTGAAGGTTCTGTATTTACAAATGAGCATCAAAGCGTTTATTTGAAACCGATTTTATCCGAGAGGACTAGTACAGTAGAGTATTGGCATAATGTAATCAAAGCAATGAGGAAACGGAGAGGTCACAGGTCTACAAGAATTATTATAAATAAAAGTGATAAAATTGAATAAAATCGCTTTCAAATAAACGCTTTGATGCTCATTTGTAAATACAGAACCTTCATTTAAGACTTTCTAACTTTGCTGGTTTATACTGTGCTTGGTTTGGACTGTACTGGCTTGAAAATACTAACTACCGATTTGCATCGAAGCGTTTTTTCGAAAGTGATTTTATCACTTTCAGATTTAAAAATTCCTGTAAACCTGTGACCTCCCCGTCTCCAATATGCCCCGACCCAACTATGTTCCGTCCCCACTATGCACCGACCCCACTGTACTGTTTTTTTTTTTTTTGCAAAAACTTAGTGGACCAAATAACACATATACAATGACTTGTTATATTGTATTGGAATGGTCGACGATTCATGTTCCAATCGTTTGTACTCCATAGTTTAAATTATAATCGCTTATTCTCAATAAAATTAATATTTATGTATTATATACTTCCATTAAAGCAATCTCACACAAACTATTTATACTTCATAGATTATATTATTTCAAAGCTATATTATACTTCTATTTTACTAGATTGACAATGTACAAAATAAAATGCAACTAAAAAAACCTTTTCATAGATCCTTAAAATGTAAAGGGTGGGATAGTGAAACGGGTTTTCCCATTTAAATACATTAGACCATCGCCATTTTGCTGCCTCATCCTGTGTATTAGTTTCTTGTTATTTTCTAAAGAAAAATCGATTTTCTTACATTTAAATTAAAATAAATCGTATACTGGTACTGTGATGGAGAAAACAATAAATTTTACCTACATATATTACTTATTAGTTAAATATTACTGACGTGTATAGCCACTAGCGGTCGGCTGTTGCCTGTTATTTAACAATAACCTTTTATGGAGATTTTAAAAATTGTGTTTTTTTAATAATAGCATAGGAGCAGTATCATGATGTTAAATGTTCACGAGATTTGATCTAGTCATAAAATAAATTATTATCATTTATGACTTAATTATTATTAAAATTTATCTTAATTTGTACATAGTAATAAAATAATGAAATATTTTATACAAAATTAGAGCTACAAGTTGATAAACTAAAAAATTAAAAATAGCACGAAGCAGATTATCTAATATTAGACAATTTAAACAATCAAACGTGAATCTCTTTAAATGAATAACAGTATAACAATATGCAAAACATTAATTTTCCTTTAAAAAAATTGTGTAATAAAAAATACATTTTGAGGCGGTATACTGCATAAAAACCAACACTTAATCTGAATCCAAAAAACAACAGTCCTCTTTATAATTTGCAGGTAGTTGGACCTTATATACTCATAGTTGACCTTCGGTAAGGTTATATAACGCAGGCTATAAAATAACGAGATAACGACAGTGGTTTTGTCGTATCAGAATCATTAAGTGTCTTAATAAGTACAAGGATAGGTTTTTTTCCCAGTAAATCGAGTGTCTACTATAATCAGTTACACGATTTAGTCGTCTGTGATATCATGTAATAAACTCAATATTATGATACCGATCATTGGGCCCTAACCTAATCTAACACGGATAGACGTTACCAACTGATAGTTTTTAGTGTCTGTTCGTTTCTCCCATCTGGTACACCGGGTTTTTAGTTGAAAAAAAAAAAAATTGAATTTGTGTAAACTTAAAGTCAAAAGTGGTACTCGAGCACAAAACTTAATAGTATCATTCTGCAAAGTTAGAAAATATTAAATTGAGGTGCTGTACTTACAAATAAGCATCAAAGCGTTAATTTGAAAAAGATTTTATTTTATTTTATTTATACAATTAGACCAGTAGACCTGTGACCTCTCCGTCCTCTCGTTGTTTTTATTCTATTATGCCTATACTCTACTGTACTAGTCCTCCCAGATAAAATCACTTTCAAAAAAACGCTTTTTTGTAAATATAGCACCTCAATTTAATATTTTTGAACTTTGCTGGCTAACACTGTGCTTGGTTTGGACTGTACTGGCTTGAAAATACTAACTACTGATTTGCATCTAAGCGTTTTTTCGAAAGTGATTTTATCACTTTCAGATTTGACAATTCCTGTAAACCTGTAACCTCCCCGTCCCTATTATCCCCGACCCCACTAATACAATACATTGCATATATGAAATGAGATACCAGAAATGAAGATAATAAACTATTTAAAATCGATTTTGTTAGGAATTTAGAACAACCGAGGGCCTCTTAAACATCTTAAGATGTTGTAAATATGTAGAAAAAAATGTGCACGTGTGTTGTTTAAATTTAAAAAATATTATGTTTTTATACTAAACGCAAAATATTCTAAGATTACTTGTGT